GCTGAATGATGATCCAGGTACGCTTCATTTGCAAGGCTCCCTTCGAAGAAAAGAATTTGCATGGACTAGGATTTCTAGCCTGAAAGAATTCGCTTAAATCAGGGCTTTCGACAAATAATTGTATGAGGAAATTTGCATCTCCTAATATGCTCCTCCTAAAAAGTGGCCCTTTTAATAATAAATTTGCGTAAATTAGGACTTACAGTAGAAAGTTTGCTTAGAAATATATACTGAGGGGTTTTATGCGGAAGTTAGCGTGAGAGAAGTTGCATCAAAGCTCCTGGCGCAAATTTTGCATAACAAAATTTGTAAAAACTAAGGATTCCAACAATTTTGTATTGAAAAATTTGTGCAAATTGATTTTCTCGTTGAAATTCTTTTAAACTGGGTTTCGCCCTTTTAGGCTGAACATTTCGCGCAGGAATTCCTTTTCCTACACATGTTTTTACGTAAATTCTGTAGCTGATAAAGTTTGCGGGCTTTCACTTTGTTGCGTTCTTTCATATCATTAACACAGCTAACAACTTCCCCACTTATCACTCTTTCTTATCTCTAAACCCCACAGAGTTCCATATAGGCGTTTGAGTGGAACCTTCCATTTGGCATATATTCATTTAGCACCGGCTGAGAGTATTCTCATCTCATTATGACTTCATGGCCACTGACCATCTCAGTAGATTTACAGAGAATACTCTGACTCACTGTATAATTCATAGTCTCTCCCTCCAGCTATGCAGTTGGCGAACCTGACTTTACTGGTGGTCAGCGTGCTGGTGATCTTGACGTTCGTTTCGTGTCACCTGAAGTCTGAAGCTTCAGCCAATAAACTAGAACTTATGTGTCAGATATTGCTCAGTTTTTACAATATTTTAGCAAATTTTCATTTTTTTGCAGAATTGGGTGCGATAGCAGCGGCACTAGCGGATATATGCAAGAAGGTAGTGCGTGCACGTGCAGCAAATTGGTGCTCGCTGATGTGGACCATCGGTACCGATGCGGAGATTGAGCAACAGATCCAGCGTATTCTTAGCGCCGATTTTCAGATTGCCCCTCCAGAAATCAAGCACCGTCCAGTGTGAACGAAAAACTGGAGCTGCAATAGGTTTAGGGCGAGTGAACGCAGAGAGAACATCGATGAGCAATGTATTCGACAATTTGGCGCATCAGTGATGATAGTTTTGGTAGTGGAATTTGATTTAAAAAAATCTTCCTCCTAGCCGTGTTAATATTTAATTTATCCCAAGTGTTTTTTTCTTTTTTTTTT